TCTTTCAGAGGCCGCACCTTTTTGTGGGATTGGCTTAAGAACAAGCGCCTGAGGGCTTCGCCGAATCGCTGCATCCGCGCCGTTTTTCGGACGCGAACACAAGGGCCCAATGCGCACTGCGCGTGGACGCGGCGACCTGCGGCGGTTTGGTGGCGCAGCTCGGAAAGGCGGCGCAGTGGCGAACCGCGCTGGCGGCGGCCACCGGCGCCTTGGAGTCCCATGGGGAGGCCGCTACTGTTCTTGTTTTTTGTTTTTTGTTCCCGAAAGCATGGCGAAGGGTTCTTCCGCTGGGTTCACTTGAGTTGTTCTCATGAGAGTCATTACAAGGTGTCATTGCAAGGAATCATTGCAAGGAGTCATTGCAAGGAGTCATTGCAAGGAGTCATTGCAAGGAGTCATGGCAAGGAGTCATGGCAAGGAGTCATTGCAAGGAGTCATTGCAAGGAGTCATTGCAAGGAGTCATTGCAAGGAGTCATTCATTGCAAGGAGTCATTGCAAGGAGTCATTGCAAGGAGTCATTGCAAGGAGTCATTGCAAGGAGTCATTGCAAGGAGTCATTGCAAGGAGTCATTGCAAGGAGTCATTGCAAGGAGTCATTGCAAGGAGTCATTGCAAGGAGTCATTGCAACGAGTCATTGCAAGGAGTCATTGCAAGGAGTCATTGCAAGGAGTCATTGCAAGGAGTCATTGCAAGGAGTCATTGCAAGGAGTCATTGCAAGGAGTCATTGCTAGGAGTCATTGCAAGTCATTGCAAGGAGTCATTGCTAGGAGTCATTGCTAGGAGTCACTGCAAGGAGTCATTGCAAGGAGTCATTGCAAGGAGTCATTGCAAAGAGTCATTGCAAGGAGTCATTGCAAGGAGTCATTGCAAGGAGTCATTGCAAGGAGTCATTCATTGCAATGGAGTCAAGTGCAAGTTGCAAGTGCAAGGAGTCAAGTGCAAGTTGCAAGTCACAAGGAGTCAGGAGTGCAAGTTGCAAGCGCATGGAGTCAAGTGCAAGTCGCAAGTGCAAGGAGTCAAGTGCAAGTTGCAAGTGCAAGGAGCCAAGTGCAATTGACTTGCGAGGAGTTAAAATCTCTTCTTAGGGCGGCGGGGTAGTGCCGACGACGCTACACGAAAATCGACCCTCTGCGGGGATCGGCGTGGTCGAGGTGCAAAAACCATGGTTTTTTGCGATTTCTGTTTGGGCTCGCGCGACCCTCTGCGGGGATCGGCGTGGTCGAGGTGCAAAAACCGATGGTTTTTTGCGATTTCTAAAGTTCCCGCGCGACCCTCTGCGGGGATCGGCGTGGTCGAGGTGCAAAAACCCATGTTTTTTTTTGCGATTTCTGCGGTGCTCGCGCGACCCTCTGCGGGGATCGGCGTGGTCGAGGTGCAAAAACCCATGGCTTTTTGCGATGTTTAACCTGCTCGCGCGACCCTCTGCGGGGATCGGCGTGGTCGAGGTGCAAAAACTCGAGGTTTTTTGCGATTTTTAACATGCTCGCGCGACCCTCTGCGGGGATCGGCGTGGTCGAGGTGCAAAAACCCATGGTTTTTTGCGATTTCTGCGGTGCTCGCGCGACCCTCTGCGGGGATCGGCGTGGTCGAGGTGCAAAAACTCATGGTTTTTTGCGATTTCTGCGGTGCTCGCGCAACCCTCTGCGGGAATCGGCGTGGTGGAGGTGCAAAAACTCGAGGTTTTTGCGACTTTTGTTGTTCGAACTGGTCTTCGGGAGTTGTCTCGTGGTTCGCGCGCCTGCTCCCGGAACCGGCGGGTCGCGGGTTCGATTCCTCCCTGGTCCGCGGGCGGGCGTCGCAAGATGCAACTTGCATTTTAAAGCAACTTGCGCAGAGCAACTTGCGCAGAGCAAGTTGCACAGAGCAACTTGCGCAGACCAACTTGCACCGACCAGTTTGCGGAGAGCGCCTTGCCTAGAGCAACTTGCGCAGAGCAACTTACGCAGAGCAACTTGCACAGAGCAACTTGCACAGAGCAGCTTGCACAGAGCAACTTGCAGGGAGCGCAATTTGCACAGAGCAACTTGCAGGGAGCCACTTGCAGGGACCAACTTGCCGGAGCAACTTGCGCGGAGCAACTTGCGCAGAGCAACTTGCACAGTGCAACTTGCGTAGAGCAACTTGCGCAGACCAACTTGCACCGACCAGTTTGCGCAGAGCACCTTGCCTGGTGCTGTCTCGCGCTTGCTTCACGAATGCTTCGTGGAGGGAAAAAGAACGCATCCTGCAGCGTTGGGCCGACCTCGCTTGCGATATTATGCTTTCGGGCCAACCGTGGTCTAGTTTTTTTTCCTGGGGGCGTTCGCTCACATTAACGCTCGTCGGAGGTTGCTGCGGCATCGGTTTACGGGCTTGCTTGTTTGGCAGACAGGGCCGCATGTGATGTGTGAGTTGAGCATGGGCCAACATGCGTTGAGGTTGCCATGAGGATGTACATGTGAAGGTTTGAACGCAAAGCCGGTAGCTACCAGGTAGAATCGTCCTGGAAGTGTTCATTCCCATTCAACGTGCAGCGGGTGAACATCTTTGCTTGGACGGACATGTGCGGAATTCTGCTCAAGAGACGTATTATCTTTACTCGTGGCATTTCCGAGTGGAAGCGACATGTGTGGAGAAACTTAGGGTCAGCGAGCTCTGTTCAAGCAAGCCCAAAAGGACTCTAGAACAGGAGTTCGCCGCCGGAAGGCAGGAAACGCCGGAATGGAAGCTACAGAAGATGACAGGGAATGCGAGAGGATAGCAAGTGGGTTCCAACTTTGTTCAGCCAGACGGCTTGGCTTCGTTTTGTTTCATGTTTCACGAGAGTTCTCGTGACGTGCAGCATGCCGAGGACTTGGCAGCGCCAACGTTGTGTCCTGCAACGCCCTGCTGGATTGCTGCGTACGGGCACGGCAGTGGCAGGTGGCACTCGCGGTTTTGAGGCGGATGTGCCCTGGCTCTTGGCAAGCCTCGGCTTTTGCGGGTGTCTTGTTTTGTCCGGAATAAATGGCGGTTGTCCTTTTTGGGTTGAAAATACAACAACCCAAAAAATGTACACTCAAACAAACACACACCCTTTGTGTTTTGCTTTGCCTTTTCCCATTTCCACTCCTGCATGAAGTGTTGGGCACATGGCGGGATTCCCTATCCTGTAGCGTGGAAAGTGGCGATGCTGGAATCGCTAGGCGGTGCGGAGTGATGTGCCCATGCGCAACCACCTGCTGTTTCCGCAAGCGCCCCCTGAAACGTAACTCCAGTTGTTAGTACGCTGAGCGTGTACGAATTCTTTTGCCAAGCCCAAGGCAAGGCGCCATGCAGCCGGACGCCATTAGCTACAGCTCGGTCATTTCTGGCTGCACAGAGGAGGCTGAGTTGGGCTACGCGCAATCTTGGTCGGATCGTTTCATGATTTCTCGGCCGCCTTTGCCACCAACCGCAAGAAATCCGCCTGTTCAGCCACGATATTGGCAGAGGAATCGCAATCGCAATCGCCACGCCGCCACAGTGAATGATCACCTGGGGCCGAGCAAGGTACTTCACACATCTTCACACTGCTCTTCTTTCTATTGCACGGTCAACATTCCCATTCTGTTGATCCAAACGTCTAGTTGGGAGCGCGGGAGTGCAGGGGGGGGTTGACTTGCTTGAGCAACATGCTTGTTTCTGTCCCAGCTAAGCGTGGACCCGAAATCCACGATTTTGCTAATTTCATTGGTCAATGCTTCTCACATGTGTCAGTTTGCCTGGTGTTTGCATAGGGTCTGTCCAGCGGAGGTCGCATGCCCAAGGCTTTCCGGAGTTAACAACTGAAATGTGTGCTGCGTAAGGGCGAAGAATTTGCATCCGACTGTTGATTTTTTGGATCCCGTGGATGAGAGTGGGCGTTCACGCATGGCAAAGTTGGCAGAAGGATATTGCGCAGATGTTTTTTGTTTATTTGCTCCGGCAACTTTTGCGAAACGTGCTGATCCCAAACCCTACGCCACAAATCGAAACCATGCCTACACACACATATGTTTTACTCAGCTCTTACATTCGGCTGTAGCCCCAGGCTAGGCCGATTCATTCCCTGCTGGAGGCTTGGCCCCTGGCACTGGCCTTGCTCGGAGAGGCTGTGGTTTTGCGGGCGCTGGACACCATGTGCTGCACTGCAGCGCTGCGCGCCTGCGCACAAGGCCGAGAGCCGCTGGCATGGCCTGGTGTTGAAGCCCTTTGTGGAGAGGTTTCTCAAAAAAGACAATAAAGATGGGTTGTTTTCGTGGGCCTCCGTTTGGCAACTAACGGGGGTCTATATTTTGAGACTTCTTTTGATGTGCCATCAATGATGTGCCATGATTCATGGGCCAAACCCCACCAGTGGCCTGAGTGGTTTTGCTACATTTCCAAAAGCTCTGGAGGTCGCGCGTTTGACGTGTCATCCGCAGCCCGCCTTCGGCTCAGAGGACAGGGCTGTGATATTTGCCTTCGTAGCTGGGACATAGAGACAGGGACCTGGTCCCGCTACTTCGTCGCCATGGTGCTTCCCATGTCCTTGCTGCGAACGGCGCAAAATCAGCCGATGTTGCCTGGCAGCAGTTGTTTTTTTGGTCAGGACAGAGCCAAGTCTCGCATCCAGCCCGCGGTGTGCCAATATCCTGGAAAGTGTCATTCCCTCCTGGCCTTGTTATCCATGTCGCCCAGGGCAATATTCACAAGCCTGGATCAGTCTTGACAAGCAAGATTTGCAGATACATGATTTGGACAGCCATACGCATGTTCAGGTGGTTCAGCCTGTGCCCCCTTTCTATCCGTGCTTGTGGCCAATGACTCTCTTAGCCAAGTGACAAGTTTGGAATCAAGTCAAAGAACAGAATGGGACGGAGAAGAACATGCCTGAGCAAATGTCGTCCTGACTTCTTCTCAGCATTGTTGGTTTGGCTCAAGTTCTCATCCAGCACTACTAAGCGAATCGCAGCAAGTGCATGCGCGCATTCCTAGCTGGCCATGCGTAGTGCGCCTGACTCTGCCTCATAGCGAGGATGGTTGAGTTGAAGAACGGGGAGACGTACAGTGGCGTGCTGGCCTCATGCGATGGCTTCATGAACCTGCCGCCTGGCGGGAGCATGGAACGCACCGAGGGTTCCTTGAAGAGGAAAAGGGACTTTGGACCACAGGCAGATTCTGCGGCATTGTGAACATACGCCTCTAGAAGCACCCTACCGCACGCTGCACGCCTAAGACAGTTGGCATGAGCTTCCAGGCTCTGCCAACCTCCTGCCTTCACCCCCTTCACACTATTACGGAGGAAGGTCTGTCATTTATTCTTTATTCTTATGGGATTACCCTCGCATTCACGGGCCTTGCTCAGAAAGGTGGGGCCCCACAAGGAACAGGCAAGTGATATATGTACCACCCTTAGCTAGATCTACCAAGGGCGCATGTTTCAATGCGTCCTCACACCATCAAATGTTTGCCCTGCAGTGCGCACGTGTTGTTTGTGCAGTAGGCAGCGTCGCCATGTATCTTCATGCACCAGCCTGCATGTACGCATTCATGTGGGCTCTGTGTTTGCATTAAGTGTGCATGTGAGCGCGCACAAGTAGACGTCCACATCCTTACACATGAGTTCGTGTGTGTGTGTGTGTGTGTGCAGGTATGTGCACACGGCTGTTTGCCTGACGTGGCTGAGGCACATGCGTGACATCGTGTGCACCAGCCGGGACGGGGAGCGGTTCTGGAAGATCCCAGAGTGCTACGTGCGAGGGAACAGCATCAAGTACCTCCGCTTGCCCGATGAGGTGCCTTGGCCGGTCTCTGTGTGCAACCTTTGCGTACGTGGCGGCTGTTTGCCTTCCTGGGCTACATGTTCCTGGGTCACCCCAGATGGTCCAAGAGGGAGGCTGAGATTGGAAGTGCAAGCAGACAGGGCAGTGACAGAATTCTTCTACAATCCTTAAATAAATGAACTGCGATAGGTTCCTAGATTAGATGCCAAGGTGCCGCTAAGGTCAAGGCGATCAAGGGATGCACTAAGGATTGCACTTCCAGAGTTAGGCGGTAGTCATGGCGAACAAATATTGTTGCTGGTAAACTTGACTTGTCCTGCCTTACCAGCCTCAAGCCTTGAGTGCGTCCGCGTTATCAAGGTCAGTCATGGAATATGGCGGTTGTCAGAATCTTTTTGTGGCAAGGCGTCGTCGCTACCAAGGTCATAGACATGGTGAAGGATGAGCCAACATCTCGCAAGGACCTGCATGCCTTATGCATATTTAGGTTTTGACTGCCACACATGCTTGGCACACCCGAGCCTCGTTCAAAGCTTGTGCTTAGCTTCGTGGGGAGTCTAGAAATTATGTCGACCCATTTTTTTGTGGTGCATCAGTTTCTGGCGGGGAACTCGATAAACCCCAACGTCTCTCCCAAATTGGCCATAGATGACGGGACACTTTGACCGAATCGCGCTAGGGTAAACCTGGCCAAACCAGCTAGTTGTTGTTTTGTTGCGGAAGCCATGCATTAGGGGATGACATCTGTTCCAGAACGCCTGTGGCCACTTGCAGCGTTGGGACTTGGCCGAAGGACAACATGCCGAATGAAATGTAGCTGAGCAACTGGGCACTTTGGAGCAATGCCAGCATTGCAAGGCATGATAGCCATAGAAACCAGCGCTCACACGAGCGCCGCAAACCTAAGTCCTAAGAATGCGCCCGACTCATGCTGCCTGCGGTGTCCAAAGCAATTCGGAATGCAGGACGGCTGCATGCTAGCCACTGGGTGAAATATATTCCATTTTCTTTGTTTGGTGGGTTCCCTCTTTTTCTAGCAGGGCCACTGGCTGCAACTGGGCACCAGTGGCTACAATTGGGCGCAAGATGGCACAATTCCCTCATATCGGTTTAGTCATCTACTTTACCCACATCGAGGGCATGGTGCCATCCACTGACATCGACGGGAAGCAACCCATTCTAGGAGTTGGCTATAAGTTTCAATAGGGAAGCACCTCAGAAGTGGTTAGTGGGCACCATTAGTTGGTGCGTTTGCTGAGCGTACGCTGTTTTGTTGTTTTAGGTAAAAAGCCAACCCCCACATACTGGAGCAAGAATCACTATCTTGACAACCCTGTTAACGGACCTCGGGTATGCCAAAAGCAAGTCAGCAAGCAGGCGCATGCGCAAAGAAGCAAGTCGCCTGCAAATCTTGGAGGCCGCACGTTGGAGTCGACGTCTGCCCGAAATCGCCGTGTTGGACGCCGCCCATTTCAGTAGACGTCTGCCCTAAAACGACCGGGTCGGTCGGCGAGGAGATCCGTCAGCAGTTCAAGGCCCGGGGCCGCGGCCGCGGCAAGGGCGAGGGCCGTGGCCGGGGCGGGCGCGGCCAAGCACCGGGCCCGGGGGAGAAGCGCGGCGGAGGCGGCGCCGACAAGGCCCGGATGGAGTGGGGGCAACTGCCGGAGGATGTGTCTTTTCTTCTTTTTTCCGTTTTTTTTTTGAGTGGGGGGGGGTGGGGGGATGGTGTCAAAATTTTGTCGAGATAGGGGTTGTGGCTCTTTCTTTCTTTTTTTGGAGGGGTGGAGGGGGTGGGGGGATGTTTTTTTTTTTTTTTTTTTGGGGGGGCGGGGGGGGGGTTGGGGGATTGTGTCAAAATTTGTCAAGATAGGGATTGTGTTTTTTTTGGAAGGGGGGGGTGGGGGTGGGGGATGGTGTCAACATTTGTCAAGATAGGGATGGTGGCAAGTTCAAGTACTAATTGCTACTCGTGAAAACAATGTGTCAACATTTTGGGTGGGAGCTGGGGGGGGGGTGTTGGGTGTTGGGGGAAATGGTTGTCCTTTTCGTTGTGATTGTTTAGAACAGCCCCAAGGCAAGGCGTCCCCGGAACACGTCTCGAAGTAACGACTTGTGCTAAGAGAAATGGGCTCACCCAGGAAGGTTCCTTCCGTGGCTGGTTTGGGGTTTGTAGTCTGCGCAGGACAACAAGGTTCGAACCGGGTCTGAATTGTCAGAACATAACTCGAAAGCGGAGGGTTGCCAGGTTGGGGACTGTCTTCTCTCAAGGGCCCTAGCACAGTGGCGCAGGCTGGCAAGAAGGCAAGGGGATGAGATGAGTGGCATCCTCTTGAATCGCAAAGCAGGAAGACTTTGGCCACACGTGTAACCCTCAGCATTGGCAGATGCGGAAAATAGATGGGCTGCATTGCACCGCTTGGTGCCGGAGCGCATGTGCGTGGTGCCATGTGTCAATAAAGCGTTGTCGCCCCCTTTTTTGGTGCTTTGTCAAGGGGCCTTCCCTCCTTGACAGTTGTCATGCAACATGTGAGTGATTCAAAATGATAGGCTGTCACAAACGACGGGGGTGCTTGAGTGAGCATTGCTGGCCAATTTAGGTGGGGATCCTGCTGCTAGCCGGTTTGCAAGGATTGCGCCAAGACCTACAAGCATTTGTACAGCCATGTTGGAACTAAACCTCAGTTAATGGAGTCTATGGAGCTAAGCAGGCATCAGGTCACAAGTTTCACGGCTCTATCGCGCGTGCCTTTTTAGTTGTTCGGGGCTTAGTTGCAAGGGAAACCATCCATTTCAGTTGCCCCCCATTAAGCGACACTAGCCCACGTGTCAAGGGGGCGATCTGAGAGCTGCGGAAAGATCCGTTGATCTGCGTGGCTCCTTTATGACTGAACCAACCTTTAGGCAACTGTTTAGTTGTTTAGTTGAAAGCAAAAAGGTTCCCCAAGAACTAGCAGCTAAGAGTCCATCGCAAAAGCAGGGGCTCAGTTCGACCAACACACTTAAATATGCAGATAGTTTGGTAGCCCAAGTTTTCCTTTTATTAATCTCTTTCAAGCGGGTTTCAAGGTGCGGGTTCTTAGGGTGCCTCCGTGTCCAGCTAATGTTGTGCGGTCAAAAGGTGACCCCCTAGCAGAGCCCACCTTTGCTGCAGACCGTTGGGCTCAAAGCACATGCAGCGCGCGCTGGGTCTTGGCACGCTGAGTCTTGGCGCGCTGGGTCTTGGCGCCTTGTGCCTGAGATTTTGCATGTCGTTGGTTCCTGTTGAGGTGTGGCAAAAACGAAAACACCACAACATACCTTGTAAGCATACCCCAACCCCCCCCCCTAAGAGAAGCAGAGGTGCCGAACTGGGGCACGCGGGGCTTTTGCAATACCAGACCCGAAGCAGAAATGAGACAACTTAGGCGTTGTTTAGGGCTTAAGGATTCCTCATGTATCCTCTTTACGCCAATTTGGGGGTTAACCTTTGAGCGGGTATGGCCCAGGGAGTTGGTGGTGGAACCTTTGATTGTATTTGTTTGTCCCGTAGCCTGTCACTTGACAACCACCTTGGTTCAAGCAATTGTGAAACAAGGTTGGGCCAACCACACCAGCCCAATGCCCTGTTTAGACAACCCCCTTTGATTGTTTTTGTTCCCTTCGGGAATGCGAGTTGAAGCCCCAAATGCGATGTGCGTGACAAAGAGTCAATCTCCAGGAAGCCGCAGAAAAACCGATCCAGTTGAACACGCATCCCCTTCCCCAACAGAAAGTCCATCCAACAAATGCACAACCGCGTTCGTTGAGGAGTTTCCTTTTGGCCTTGAACAGGGCTCGCCTTTTCGGGTTTCTCCTGGCAAAATGTCGGGAGAACGGTGAGACTCGATTCGGACCGCCGACGCTCGACGCCGTCTGAGGATTGAGCTTTTTGCGCCACTTTATGGCGTTCCAGGTCACGGCACCTTGGCATCCATCCACGTATCTACTTGTAGATACACACTTTGTCGAAATGTGGTTAAAATAAGCGAATATGTTGTTTCAGTTTATGTGTTTGTTCATTTGTTATGCTGTTTTTTTTTTTTTTCCCGAAATGTATATAAGTACATATATGTATATATCTATCTGTATCTACATTGTACATGTACATACATACGTCTATGTGTTTGTTGCATGAGTGCCCAGACTGGGTGCCCGAAAGGAAACCAAGAATCGGCAGTTCCAACCCTATGCGTGGCACCCATTATGCGCGCACTTGTACTTTCATATTACTCCAATTGTCACACACCCACACGTGATATGTGCGAACGCGTTCACTTAAGATGACAGTATTCACTTACCTTTTATAGCATGGAGGTATCCCCAATTTAACCGTGAAGGTGAGTAAGCAACAATCATGGGGCATCGAGCCTTCTGACATCTTGAGCGAGGTGAAAGTGGTGTGCCCTCCGGAACTGGCCGGTAAGACGGGGAGGGCGCAAATCTATCTGCACGACGAGGCGGGTGGGAGTTTGGCGCCTGAGTCTACCTGATGCACTTTGAAGCCATGCAAAGAGGGGGGCAACACACCTTCCACTAGGTAGCGCCTGACAGGGGGTCCCTTCAAGAGAAAAAACATATTCTAGGTACACTCCCGCAGTTGTCTAGGCCTGATATTGGCAAAGAGGTTTGGCAAGCAAACTCGGGACCTCCCAACTCTCCAGGTTGCAAGGGGACCAGGGCCGGGCTGAGGAGCAGAGCTGCTGCTTTGTAGTCTTAAGTCTCAAGTAGCATGTGGGCAACCGCCAGGTTTCAGCGCACCCCGCCCATGTCCATTTCGGGAAATGCCGAGTTTAAAGGAAGCCGGCCCTTTTCAGGGTTCCTCGTTCTAGAAGACATGCATTTGCAAAGAGCCCTGCTGTTCTCGAGTTTTGCATCTTAGAAAGCATTTGTTCATAAGGAATTATTCTGCTCGCGTAAGCCCCTCCCCTCCCATGGTCAATTCAGGGACGCCTTTTGCAGGCCCCACACAGGTATACCCCTCAATGAAGCTTGCGATTCCACTCAAGGTGCGCTCGTGTCACCCACCTGTGGCGATAGCCTTCTGACTACCTTGCGACTGCCGCACCGTTAAGGCCCAAACAGGCTGAAGTTTTGATGTTTGTTGGCATGCGCAGCAGGCCATAGCAGTGGTTGGACAAGGATAGAATGCAAGTGTTGCCTTTTGTGCAAGCAAACGTTTGTGCAAGCTCATGTGACTTGGAATTGACGGTCGTTACACGTCTATAAAATGACGATTGGTGCTGTTGTTGCAGGGTGTTTCTTTCTTTTTTTTTTTGGGGGGGGGGAGGGGGGCTTGTTTTATTGTACTGAATCCCCACGTGAGAGACCTTCATCATATCTAAATGACAATCTTGCAGTTTTGACAAATGCCGGCGCTTGCAAAAAGCGCCGCGGCAAGGATCCATTTCGGAGCCACCACTCGCCCTTTCCACATGTTTTACCGCCAGTTTCTGGCGGACGCGGATGCGAGCCTCGCGGCGGACCTGCCGCTGAGTATGAAGGCGGATTGGGCTGGACGACTTGGCACCCCACAGCTAAGGGGAAAGGCCGCCCACCCTCAAAACTTATTAATCCAAAGCAAACTGTTATATGAAGCATTTAACGGCAAGCACCACCATGTTTCCCAAGGTGCAACTTGGTTGAAAGATGCTCGCAAGCCCTCAGAGTCAGTACCCTTTTGGGGGACACCCTGTGGCCTCGTGGCTAAATTGGGAAAGCCCCTGCGTCCGATCTTCAGACAGGACTTGCAGGGTGCAGGGCGAGTTAAGAGCGTGACAGGACGAGACTCTGGTGCTCGAGGCGGACCCAAACGTCGCACCTTGGATCATGTTGTAGGGCTGCCTGCTGGCCCGGTCTTTTTTGCTTAACCAAATGGGTGTCGCTCGTAAATAAGGAGCCTTCACCTGATTTGCCAATCGCATTGTTTCCAGGGTCATTTCCTTGCCAAGTGTCGCCATTTGGCACTGCTTTGTTTCAGCGGGCTTTTTCACCTGAGCCAATTGTCAGAGCAGATTTCGAAGTTTTTGTTTTGGCCCTAGTCCTTTTCCTGTTGGCACGCTTCCCTTCATTGAAAACGGCAGCTAAACATGTAGAAAGCCCTCTTGAGGGGATCTTGTATCCTCAGCCAGCCAGAGGGTCAGAAAGCATTTGGATTCCCAGTTTGTGGTTTCCTCCGGAAGTTTTCGCCTGCTAAGATATTGAACTACTGTTTAAACTCTCAAATGGATCAAGAAAAACAGCATCCAAACCGTACTCTGGGTGAAGGGTTCTAGAAACCTCAAAAGTCCGTTTGTTCTCGTCAGCAAGCGCTACAAGAGGTAAATCGTGCGGGTGTGTCTTTCAATCAGGGTGTTCATGTGTGGCACGTTCGCACTGGGCGGGCTCCTTGGAATGCATCTGGCCCATACCCAGAAGGAATTGAGCTATCACCCCCGTCCCGCGGTAGGGATGTTGGCCCATTGAGTCGCCTGGAGCCTTGGCCTTTGGGCCAAGAGCACCCGGTGATTGGCTTTGCGATGCAGCCGCAGCCCACCTGCGAGGGATCCCCGAAGTCATTTGGATTCATTCTGCAATGGAGCCCTGGTCAAGTTGCGCGGTTTCGTTCGACGGTGCCCAGGAACAGATGGGAAAGACTGCCTCCCAAATGGAGAAGGCCAGCTACTATCTGAGCATCTCCGGGCAGGTTTTCGCCGAGCCCGTCTTCTATCTAAAAAGCGGCCAGACTGTGACCGTGAC